CAGTCAATAGTGTGCCTTTGCCACGATGTTTGTCTCGTATAGGACAAAGAGGCAGAGTAGACGGTCACGTAATCAAATTGGATCACTTGAGTTCTAATTTTTTCAGTAGTACAACGTGGTATAAAGTTGAGTATCAACTCATATGATAGTGCATAAGAGCCTCTACGAAATGAATATTGATTTTCTATTAAAAAAGCTATGAAAGGGTGGCGTTCAAGTTTTCGCTTCCATACAGTAATACGCTTATTAAATCGTGTTTCATAAACAAAATCATTCATTTTATCTCTAACAAATAAAAAAAAATGATTATATGACATCCATTTCATCATCTCACCGAAAGTGCAAAGCGAGCAATATGTTTATGTAGAGTTACTTTCATCAGTGCTTCGTGTTATGGATGCCAGTAAGAGTATTGACATCAACGCGCAAGGTACTTATTTCTGAAATATATGACAGTTTTCATCAGAATCTTCATTTTCTCGACAAGTATTGGCATACGGGAAATATGCGTCGACTACAAAATTGTGTCTTGACATCTCGAATAAAAACGTAACTTCAAAAGCATAATTTTGAATTCCTTTCTGAACTTTCCTAATGATTTCTATTGTTATTAGTTAACTGTTCAGATTCATCTTGCGATAATTATTTTGTTTGATTAAAGAAGACTTTTGAAAGACGTTGAGTTCTTACTTGATGTATTAATTGCAGAAAACACAAGTGGTGTCATACCACCAGTTGCAATGATTGAAAATGGTCCTACTACATTTGAATAATAAGTTATGACAACCAAAATGTATTGTGTCAGAGTATTGAGAAATACTGAAAACCTGAATTGTCTAGAGCCACCGCTCTCATCGTCTTTTGCTAAGACATTTTGCGTTGCTAAAGCAGGATCAAAAGTATTCTTGTATATGTAATCATATGTATCCATGCTGCTATTGGATCGAATAGTATAATTTCCATCTATGGAAACATTCAATTAAATGGCTTGATAAAAAGATGTTGATCCTGAACAAGGGAGTCTGTCATAGAAAGTTTGTCTATAGTTAGTCAAAGTTGATAAAAACGTCGATTGCACCATTAATGAAGGAACTATTAAAAGAACCAAAAACAAAAGATCAAAGCTGATATCGAAGTTTTGAGTTTTCAATAGTTTTTCGTTCACGCAGTTTTTTAGTATGTTGTAGTAAGAAAAGAACGATCATAATCAAGTTCAAAACTGAAAGAAAAATAGATCTCTTATTTAAAAAGAAATGATAGTACTCTGTACGTAGCTTTCAAACTTTCACAGACACCCATTCTAACTGTCTGCACTGAAAAAATCAAGGAGGTCTGAAGAACCTTTTAAGACCTTAAAAAGCTCTGTGTTTTACCCAATGAGTGAATCTCTGAAAAAAGGTGTTGTACAAAGAAAATTGGTTTTAACATCCTATTCATATAGAAAGGCTAAAGAATTTTTCATACTATGCTGCAAAAGAGTATTGAACTTGCTTGACAGCATACTCTCACTTAACTTTCCTTTTGTTATTAATTGTTTCTCATGGTTTTATTAACCCAAAAATTACACATTGCTAAAACAAAAACAAACAACATGATGTTCTTACTGAAAATAGCTATTAATATGATCAGAAGAACTAAAAACAACAATAGCAAGCTGCAAAAATTAGGTTTTTTAATTTGATTTTCAGAATGGTCTTTCTAAAATGTCTTTTGTTTCGTTTATACGAAGAGGATCTTGTATGATTGGAAAACGAAGGAAATTGGTCGAAATCTCTAGAGATTTAGCTTGCATTTAGTTACATTAAGAGTAATAATTCTTTAGTACATAGATCTGATAGAACCCATTCCTTCGAGTCTCTGTTGAAGAATTCAAGATTCGATTCCAGAGTTATCGTATACCACCGAAAACAAACTAACGAAATTTAATCACTTACAATACACGGTTTTCAACTTATTCATATTTTTTTCAATGATACTCTGCTTATACATTTTGCAGAAATTAATCTAAGAAAACACCTAGAATGATTTGAACTGATTAAGCTGCTTTACAAATTTATAGATATTTTATTCATTCTTTCGATGCTATTCGTGGTAATTATAGAAAAATAAAACAGTAGAATTCCAATCTTGAAATATTTTCCCTGTATCCGTTCTATGGTATATTGGACGCTTTAAAAAGTATCGATATAAATAACTGTTTCCTCATCGATATGTTGAAGTTTGAGAGAATTGAACCTTTCTGTATTCTATCGAGTTTATCACACATTTTGATTTTCAACATCTCGAGAATAAAACATCTTCTTTTCTGGAATGAAGTTCTTAGAACGTTCTAATGAGTCAGATATTTATATTTTAGCAAGTCTGTAGTTGAAATTCTGTTCTTCTATTTTTCTGTGAATATTTTGTACTAAACCGAACAACTAATAAAACTATGATGATCTTTCAAAGAAGTTTCATCAGTATGAATCTTCTTAGAGATTCATATTTTGAACAACATAAATAAAACATCATTGAAAAAGATATAGATAAATTAACACATTCAACACGATGGGTTCTATCGATGAGACCCACCATATTTTAACAGGCAAATGACTAGAAAAACACTTTCTTTTCCTTTTTCCTCGGGTAGAAGGTGCGAGTGTGGGTGTGGGTATGGGTGTTATCAAGGCGATATTTCACGTCCACACCCACACCAACACCCTGCGCTTAATTAAATCTCATTAAAAAACATGGCTCACCCTATTTGCGCCTGTTGGCAAGGTATTCGATAACGTTCAACACTGAAATTGGGCACTGCATCATCTCTAGTAGCATTCTTTTAATGTAGAAAAAAAATAGCAATCGTCAGAAATAGACGATCAGAGTGAATTCAGGGTCACTAGGTATGTATCTCAAAGAAAAAAATATCTAAGATGTATTGATAATAAAATCTGGATGTTGTTGCGAGCTACAGTATAAGGTATTCACCAACTACATGCGAGTGGAAACGACTAAGACCAGAATAACGGTTCAACATCATTGCGGGAAAAAACAACACCATGATGAAGATAGGAATGATTTTGTAATGAAAGAAGTAAATCCGCCCAAAATAGAAAGAAAAAATACACTGTTAACTGTTAGTCTCGTAGTAAGAGAGCTTTTTCTTCGTGCTATGCAAAACGTCGTTTTGTGTAAGGCGGCATTATAATCATTGAAAAACTTCGGAAACATAAAAACAAGATTCCTTTGTTATTTACTTCTATTTTTTTTAAACCAAATCAAACATTATGTTGGAACAGAGTGTGAATTTGATCTACTGTCAATTAACAATTATCGCTAGTACATATTTTATAAATCTGACATGTATATTATTATCTTAGACAAAACGACATTCCGTATAACAGAGAGAAAAAGCTCTCTTGTTAGAAGGTTAATGTCTGACAGCGTGTTTTTTCTTTCTCTTGTATTGTCACCTTTCTTCTCTCATCGCAACATATTTTCTATCCTTATTACTATGCCGTTTATTCCGTAGTGATATCAGTTCACTATCTCTTTGTTAGTCACTTGCATTCATATTTATTTGATGAGTAAGTTATGATATATCGCAAGAACATCTAGATTTTATTACCAACTAATACATGTTAGATTATTTGTTTTTCGATATGACTTTTCCATACCGATTGTACAGTTCTAATCATCATAATGGTCATTTTGGTATTTAAGGTTTGTGTATTTCGTACGTTATATTTTTAGTCTACAAGAACATTATTTATGAAGAAAAAAGAAAGAGCAAGCAAAGAGCTCCAATATTTGCTGGAGAAATCGATTGGTGAGTATATGGTTGTGATTTTATATTCCCTAACGCCCATATCCCACACTCACACCCACACCTCGTTCACACCCCACATCCACACCCACCCCACCCACACCCGCAATGAAATGAAATAAAACAAAAATCTTATTCAAAGAAGTGATATTAAAGAGAAAAGATGCATTTGACAAGATGATAATTAATTAGTAAATGATTTCAATTGATCAGTGAATATCTCGTATTAGGAACATTTCGAAGAAAATGTATAAAATACAATTCTAGTGTAAGGATAAATTAATTAAATGTTGCTTTCAAAAAAAAAAAATCTACATTTGAGAAAACGACTTATGCTAAAACTTTAAACGAAATACCACAGGTTGATTAAACGAAATGAATGATACATGTAGGTCACAAAATGGTGTCATCTTCTCTATACAACTCTTGACTTATGATAATATGCACAGGTCTATTTATTCAACAGATATCGTGCGCTTCAAAAAAGAAATATGGTACAACAATAAGCGACGATGTTTGCTAAAAAAACAGAAGTAAAATTTCATAAATAATTGTATATCTATTCGTTGCTTTTCAGCTTGTAATTGGAATAGCAAAGCACTCTCGATGGTGTACGTGTGAGTATGTATAAAAGCAAAATTGACATCCACATCCACATCCATACCCACAGCCACATCCATCCACACTCACACAAACCACCCCATACCCACAGCCACACCCATACACATCCCACCACACACCCACCCACCCCCACCCATTCACACCCACAGTCACACTCCACCCCACATCCACACCCACATCCTAGCAGTGAATAATTACTTATTTACATTTCAAGAGGAAAGGATCCAAAAGATCTAAATCACAGTCGCGATGACGAAGATAGCACAGGTTATTCCAGGCTTTTCAGGGTGACAATCAATTTTTATTCATAACAGAAATCTCTAAAGTAGACAGATTGTCCGTATTACACACTCCTAGGATTGTTTTTCATCTTGGGTACTTTATTTTGTGATGATTTGACTATCAGAAAGACATATTTATTCGAAACGATAAGTAAAGTCATAAGAATAAGTACTACCTAATTACACTACAATAAGCTTGAAAGAGTAATTAACTTTTATGCAAGATGTTCGATACAACTACACATAAAGAGTAGTTTAGATGTCGGTAACATAAGCTTCTAAACGATTGAACATTAGTCGAATGTAATAGTGACACCAACATTCTTTGGAGTGAGCGTAATTTTGGAGCTGTGCCCACCTGCATTGACTTCGGGACCACCACAACCGAAAGTTACATGTTGCATTAGTCTAGCCGTTATTGCTTTCAATGCTAATCGGGCTAAATCTTGTCCGATACATTGTCGATGACCACCACCAAAGGGAATAGATGCATACGAATGATGATCTTTGTCTTCACCTTGAAACCGCTCTGGATAGAACAAATCTGGATCGATCTTCCAATAGCGTTTGTCTCGAGTTAAATTATAGATATTAATCATTACTTCATCACCTTTATACAATTGAGCTCCACATACTGGTAGTCGATCATCGGTAGTTACATTGCGAACTGTGAAACTGACAGGTGGTCCAAAACGTAATACTTCTTGAAGAACACAATTTAAATACTCAAGAGAGTCAAGCTGTTCAACAGACAGATGTTGATGTTTGTTATCGCCTAGTTCGGCTTTGATTTTTGCTTGGACACGAGGATTTTTACTCACTAGATGAATGAACCATGTGAGTACAGCTGCTAAGTCTTCATAACTGGCCAGCAGAAACAGTATCATTTCATGGAGTACCTCCATGCGGGATAGTCCTCAAAAAGAGAAGAACAAAAAGACACAGTTCTCGCTCTTGATCTTTAAGATTCGATTAGTAAAAATACCAAAAATATGAAGTAGTTTTTCAATATGTAAAAGGCAGTTCTATCGAAAATAACTGATTTACCTTTCTGTTTGTTGTCTGGTTTTGCTGCTTCACTCTTCTCATCTTGTTGCAACGAATAAACAAGTGATGCAATCAGACTAGTTGTCTTTCGCTCAACAATCGATTCTTGTCTCCTGCTTTGTTCTTTTTCAATCATCTCATTTACATGCTCCTGGATAACATTCATCGATTGCCGATATCGAGGACTGAATTTCAGGTAGATTTTAGCTACAATTGATGGCATGTAGAGAGTCAACAGAAAAATATTCATAAAATCAAAGAGAGCTTTTGTAAGTTTATTGGTTTTGACACCATCATCGTTTAACGTTTGTAGATCATAGTCAAAACCAATGAAGCCAAGTATTGCGATCGATAGATCTCCACATTGGTTTAGCATGTCTAGATGAATACGAGTAGAATCATCGTTCTTTGAACGCCATCGATCGAGCAATTTGTCTGCGCAATCATTGATTATGTCCAGATTGCCCAAGATTTTACCACGACGCAAGAGAGGAATGATTATACCTGCATGACGCTTGTATTTCTCTCCTGAAATAGAAAGAAATAACTACATATGTACACCGTTTTCCTATACACAGTTTCAAAGTATGGAAAATAGGACAAATTGTTAAATTTAAGAAAAAATTTCTGCGAATCCTCATCCTTCTGTCCCTAATTTTTGTTCTTGAAAAACGAGTTTTTTCCTTGTATCACAGTGTATATTCCCAGAAAAACGAATTATTCAACTATACTATTATCTATTACTGACCTATGTTGGCAATAATTGAACCTGGTATGAGAAGTGCATGATGTTGCGTGCGCACATTGCCTTGTTCATAGATATGTCGATGACTAAAGACATGCTGTATATCTTCAATGTTGCATATACCAATCATTCGCAAGGGTCCCGCCCAATATTGAAAAACATCGCCAAATTCGGCTTGCATTTGCAAGCAGATATTAGCTAGCGAAACTCCGCGTAACGTGCCCATCTGTAGGATATTTCCGAATAAAAATTGAGGTGGTTTCCCAGGCAAAGGGCCACGTAGAGTAAAGTATTTTAGTTTGGCGTAAACAATAAATACTATCAGTAGAATAACAATAAGAACAAGAAGCATTGCCATAGTATACGTGCACAATATAGAAAGTAGTATACTGTGGCGTTGCTTTCCTTCTCTATCGTAGTAATGCAATAAAAAGGACAGAACAAAAGAGAAAAAAAAAAGATTTTTGAGTCTCTTCTTTTGATATTTCGGGGTAGCAGTGACTCTAAAATCTTTTTTTTCTCTTTTTTTCTGTCCTTCTCCATCATAGTAGTGCGATAAAAAGGACAGAACAAAAGAGAAAAAAAAAGATTTTGGAGTCACTGCGACCCCGAAATATCAAAAGCAGTGAGGTCGTACAGGTAAGAAGAAAAGTTCGCAAGGCGGTTCCACTATCATGCTATATACTAGAAATTAATATACAATCATGGACAAAAGTACCGCCACCAGGCAAAAATCACCTTATCACGCATAGTTTGTCTTCAAACTTCTACCACAGCTGGACCTCAATGAACTCTGATCGCAAGTACCAACCAGAGATCTATAGCCTTTGCAATGACCAAGAGAGAAGAACAATGCTATGGTTTTTGTATGTGATACTATCTTCGACTAGGAAAGAGATCTAGTCTCAATCGACCCATTATTTGAAAGTTCAATGGTTCTTGCCGTTCCAGCAAAATTTTCACCTCAAGCAGTCCTTGTTTTTCTGAGTAATAAATCATTTTTTCATACCCATTGACCCAAGAAATTATAGATCTTTCATAGGATGACTTGTAGCTCGATCTAGTCTCAACTGTTCACCTCGAAAATTTTAATACAGAATATTATATTGTAATCAAGCATTCCCTGAATTTTCGAGAATCGTAACTATTTGGAAAAGTAGGACTCTGAACTGGAGTACACCCACCGATTACAAGAACGAAAAGATCGTAACAATACAAAGAGATCGCATCGCCCTTTTATGTTATGGTAGATCTTGTCAGAGCTTTGATTTGCTGTAGAAAAAAGAAAAAAGGTGCCGAGTTTATAAGACAGAGACAAACAGACATAAACTTTGCCTGTGTCTTTTTCGTTCTGTGAGGATTAGAAAATCAAGTTACTGGTATTTGCTTAAAATCTTTCGCTCCATTCTGCCTCATCCTAACGAAATTCATAGGTATCGTACAACAGTTTATTTGCTGATATCACGAGCAAGTTTTTGTAAAGTATGATACAATCTCTGAATTTTGTTACGATGAAGCAGAATGGAGCACGATTATAAGCAAATATCAATAACTTGATCTTCTAATACTCACAGAACGAAAAAGACACAGACAAATTTTGGGTGTGGATGTGTGGGTATGGGTGGGTGTGGGTGTAGCTGTGCATGTGAACAAAGAGAACACCACACCCACACCCCATATCCGCACCCACACCCTATACCCACCCATATCCCATTCAGCTAGATTCCATGATGAAGGTAAAAACGTCACATTTATTTTGCAACTATTATGAGTTGAAGCATTATTTGTTGTTGTTGGATCAATAAATGTTGGAATACATACATGATTTTTTTCTTCAAAGAATTTAGCAATTTTATTAGATTCATAGTAGAACAATAAAGAAGATGGGACAATAGCCTAAGTAACACTAAAATCTTTATAAATTCGTTCAAGTGAAGCATTATTGTTTATGATACTTTCATTTTTGTTTCACAAATCATTATTTTCTATTCCATAATAATTACCTAATAGGCCATGTGTTTTTCTACGAACCACTCCATCTACCGAAGCAGCTATATTAAGCACAAGCTGTTTTGAGGGTGATAACATTTGGGTGTGTGTGTGGTGTTCTCTTCATTCACATGTACACCCACACCCACAAAACATAAATACAATCGATGTAATCACAGAAATGTTTACCAAAACAAATTTTTTTTTCTTTGTAATTTCAGTATTATTGTTTAGTGATAAGTTCTCAGTAAATGCAATGAATCAATTGTCACACGAACAATCGACTTTGGAATAGAAGACCATTTTTCTGTCATAATAAAGTGCATTGCATTTTTTTCTTTATTTTTCATGTTTTTTTTGCATGCATGTGTTCGTCCTCTCATGATATGAAAGGTCTACCAGTTTGTATGCGCTTAACAGTAGATTATTCTCATGCATCATATTTTGTATTTCGTCTTTTCATTTGCGTTTTCATAGTGATAGTGCAAAAAATCTGAATAGGCAGTCGTTTTAAAGTGAAATTTTGATGCATCATTTGTCAGTTGGTGCATTTTCTCATCATTCATTTTTTTTAGAAATATAAGTATATATTGAAATTGAGGCATTGCTCTTCATAGTATTCATCAAAATGAAGTCTTTTTTTCTTGTATTGGTATTGATCATCTCTGCTGTTATCTGTAGTGCCAAATGGACAAGTGAAACTCAATCTGCTTCTAGTGTGCTTCCATCGACTGGTAAAACTTGTGGAGGTACCTCACCATTAACTCGTTGGGCACGAACAGGTCGATCAGACACAATACAGATGAATATTGACACTAGTAGTTGTCGATTTGAAAAAACTCCATTGTATTTCACGAGTCTATCAGGTGTTGCTGGTCATTATCTTCTTGTTGGTGTCGATGCTATCTATGAACCGACCGCAAATGGCTTTAAAATTAATGTTCACTCAACTAATAATGAATCAGCTGATACATTAATGGCTTGGTCAGCTCAATATCAATGGAATGTCAATTGGTTCGGATTTTCACCTTGAATAAACGAATTGTGCTGTTCTTTTATTTAAATAAATCAAGTATCTAAATTTCTTTCAATATTCATACTTTCTTTTTAAATCATTGCATCTTAACAGAACAGATATACTAGTGGATCGTTTGGAAAAAACAAAAGCATTTAGAAAAAAGATAATTAGAAATAAACGAAAAGAACGTAAATAAAGTACATAGATTTAACTAAAAGAACAAAGCATGATGACTAATTTGAATTTTAAGACTAAAACAAATAATTTTGGCTGAGAAATAAAAGTCTTCTACTGTAATACTGGTCACGAACTAGAAAAGAAGATGAAACATAAAAGATTATCGAGTAACGTGTATGTATTGGTTATTCATTGATCGGAAAATAAATTCGACAGATAATCAAAAAAGATTTCTATACTTTGTAAAAAAAATATTCGATGTTATGTTAATAAAAGAATAATATCTCATATGTAGCTAAATCATTCCTCGATAGAATGTTCTTTTTCTAAACATTTTAATTTAGCGCTTCTATCTATTGGTAAATTATTTAGTTCGTATAAAGGTCATACGTTTCAGAAGAGATTTCATAATTGAATATGTGAATGAAACTTCTTTTGTTTTACTTGAGATATTATCACAGAAAAAGGTACAGTAAAGATTGTGTGTTCCTGAATATATTCTGGAGTTCATTTTAGATCAATGGCAAAGACTTTTGTATCCTTGGCATAATAGACGAAGAGTACTAGAATCTTATCTTCATCAACTGGTATTTTGTCTGTAATTAGGAATAAGTTGCCTTCGATTACCTTTTGTTAGTTCATAAGGCTTGATAGTTTTCCGATATATTCATGTCAATTTCAGCGCTTTGTTGTAGATGAAACTACCTTTAATATAACGAAGAAGTTTTTCTTAAGAAAAAATATTGGACCTGGTGACATTATCACTCATTGACTATGTAGGTCAATTGTAGCGGCAATATTTGATTCCTTGGGTTTTGTTATCAAGTATGTTCGGAAACGCAACTCTAATAATGAATCAATCGAATACTGATCAATCAAGTATTGAGTTAATGACTTATTGACCGTATGAAAAAAGCTCGATTGAATATCTTAAGTTTTGACAAAATAACTCGTGTTATCTTTTGTTTATTGAGCTTTGTGTATCAAATATCAAAAAACAAAACTATCGCATGATGGATAGATAAGAAAGAACTAGACGTCTTCCAGATTCATTCAAACGGAGTTTGAAACTAGAATTTTTTCTAAATAATATTTCAAGGAGAAAAGAAAACTAATTGAAATCAAGATAATTATTGACATTCACAAACAATTATAATTTCAGCGTTTTTCTTCTGTGGAGAAAGGACAAATCAAGGGTAGATAAATGAATTATTTTTCCAGTTCATCGAGATTCATATAAAATTCTAGTCGCTTTGACACAATTTTCTTAGTTTTTGTTATTTGATTACTGATGCAACAGTTAAAGGAATTTTCGGGATAAATTTTTTTTTTCTAAGAATTTACCAAACTCCTTTATTAAATGGAACAAAATTATTCATAAGCTATAAAAACTCTCTTACAATTAGACTTTCTTTTGATGATATGGTGTAGTTCAAAGAATTCCAAGATTTTTTAGTAAAAATGGAAATAAACAGGCTATTGTCCAATGTTATAGAGAGTAGAATTTTTCGTTGTAAAAAATCTGAAGGCTAAAAATGATGTAGATTGTATATCCTACGTTCTTTTTTAATATCTTCTTTGTGTCTCAATTCTGTAAAACATGAAAAAATACTTAGAAATGAAAAATATTTATAGAATGAATTTTAAAAAAATTAAAAAAGTGAAAAAATATTTCTTATGTCATTAGATAAAACATTCTTTGTGTGATAACATTTAATTTTTACTCTATTTTTACAAGGTCAATTCTATTTGTTTCTTTTTATTCGAAAAGATTAGTATGTAAGACATCAATAAACGAAAAAAAGAGAAAAAAAACACGATTAGAATAATATACATTCACATGAACAAAAACTATGAAAATGAAATAGTTTCTATTTTGGTATTAATTTCGACTTGGAAAATAAGATAATCAAATTCTTATATTTATGTTGTTTTCTTTGTTGATCTTTGTTTGTTGGTTGGCACATATTTTCATATGTTATTATTTAATTCGTCGTATTAGTAATATTCGAATTCGAATTATTATAACAATTATACCTTATATATTACTTAGTACAATTGACTGTCGTGATTTATCTCAGCTGTGTATGTTTTCAATTTATATAATGGCAGTATATATTGGATGACAACGATTCGTTTAATTGATTCAATCATATTCGCATCTAACAAATATTCTATGTTTCGTTCGTTAATCTAGAAAATAGTTTGGCTCATTTTTCCTATTGTGTCGTATGACCAATTAAATGAATGTCAATGGTCAATTATCTTTGATTTTATTTCAGGTGTCGTGAAATTATTACTATTAAGTCATTGGATTGATCGATAATTTCTTTTCAACCGAGCGAAATCTATGAAAGAATGTATACGTTTTATATATTAATGCTCACTGGAAAATCTATATTTGACTTTCAAAATGCTCTCATTCGAATAGTTACTAAAGATACAATTGTTTTGTTGGAAATATTTTGAGAGAATCGATGTTTCCACCTGACTATTTCTATTTATCTTCTCGAACAATAGCAGTTTTAATAACATTTATTATCAGTGGTCTTCTACATTTTCATATTGATATTGTTATTTTTAATAATATTCGATCAACGATACCACATTTATTTTTTTCCTTTTACATGATTTTTTTTTTGTTGTACAGAAAAATATTTATCATTGCAATATTCAATCCTATGGGATCGTTATTGACACATGCTTTTCTATTGTTAATATCCTCGTTGGCTATAAGAATATTTACACGATAAGACAAAATATTGTTTACTCTCAACAATCCTCCATTATTTGTTAATAAATGGATACTCATATTACCAGTACCCAAATTTTGTTCTAAGTAATAATTCAATATTATCTCTATTGAAAGTTTATATGTAAGTTTTAAAACTAAATCGATAAGTTAAATTGACAATTGATGAAGTATAAACATGTTTAGATCTATCTCAACAAGTTTAACTCACTTTTAGGTAAGGTGTGGGTGGGTCGTAGAATGATTATTTACATCCATACCCATCTTTCACACCCACACCCGTCACTTCCTATTCTATCAAAACTCATTTGTCTTCAAGTACTTACATTACATCATATTGAATTGGAGTATATGAAAAATCTTTTAAGCAGTTCACTAGTTTTACCTAATTTATTCTCATTGATTGTAGAATTCATTGACATTGTTGAAAATCAAAATAATCTCTATCATCAACTATTTCATCTACCAGGCTTGAAATATTGTCGAGTGTTATTTCCCAAACAATAGATTCCAGTATCATTACCGATTGCTACGAATGAATTCGGTTCTATTGAACATTTCGTTATCAATTATGACGTTTCGCTTAATCAGTTAGATAGTTTATTATCATATATTTCTCAGATACGTCATCTATCATTTCGATCATTAGTTGGATTTTACGATAATCGAATGCAGTTGACTCCTATTATATTGAATTATTTGACAGATGTTTCTCAGCATAATATATCGAAGAATACTAATGAACGAGCTATATATGAAACTCAGATTGACGAGTTCAATTCCTTGTTTTGGATCGAACAACAATGGTATTTTGCATCTTAGTGTTATGAAGAAGGAAATTCTATTATAGTTATTTTCTACTCAACAAATTCATATAGATAATAATAGAACTTTACTAATCGGAATGTGTCTATGTTATTTCTATTTTTCAGGAGAAAACATTCGATATTATGTGAGAAAATAAACAGTAAGATCTGTTCACATGCTGAAATCAATAAATATCGAGTTCGTCATGTTCGTATATATGACGAACATGCGATAAATAATTGTGTAAATTATTTTCCAAATATTGATAAACTGGCACTACTACATGATTTTAATATATTTGGAACTTCAATGACAACGAACTCAATCGTATTATTCCGTTGAGAAAGTTCACTAAATTAGTGATTAATTGTTCTTACTATTGTTTTGAACAAATGTACGAATTATTAAGTTTTATATAAAATATTCAAATATTCAAGCTTGATACCATATACCCTGATCCAATAGATTTCATGTCTTTGCAAAAAATGAAACATTCTGAATGGTAACAAAAACAAATATTATTACAAATCTGATTATTGAACAAGAATGGACATTAGCAAAAAAAATTCAATTATTTGTTGCTTTTTTTCCTCGATTGAAATGTATTACAAATAGTTTAAACAAAAAAGATTTTGAATTAATAGTACGATTTCTATCAGTCAAAAACAAACAATAGCATTCGTCATTTATTCTTGTGGTTTATTCTAAAACAATGTCAAGATTTGGTAGAAATATGTCGAAATTTGATTCAATCAGAGAAAACTTCTTAATGACTATACTGTTAATCGTATTAACGAAAAACTGTATTTATGATGGTAGAACTTATTCATGAAATAGATATGTTTGATTTCGAATTTCTTCCTTCATGATTATTAACTGTACTTTAGTTTTCGGCATATATATATATGATGAGAAAATAGATGGAAATCTATTTATATATTTGATTCTTTCAAACTCTTTCGGTTTAGTTGATACATCTTTTAGTCCTTTTCTCTTAATACTACCAATTACATTGATTAGAAAAAAAAAATTCAAAATTATAGGAACTGTTGAATATTTCACGTTAACAAATATACGTGCTTTTGTACTGCTAAATTCAACTTTTGAAGTGAGAATTCAAATATATTTTGTTTTGAACGAAAAATTATTTCGAGCTTGTATAGCTCAGTGATGTATATGTACGGTCGTTTGTTCATTGCTCTGACTCAAAAAAAAAAATATTTACATGGATAGTGTATTATCAAGGAACTTGTTGCAGGTAATAATACTGCAAGATAAGGTAGCATACAGTTAAGCTATTATAAAATAAAATATACTAGGTTCAAATCGTATGTCCACAAAAGATTATCACATGTTTCCATATGCCTTTGACATTAGTTTCTTTGTTTGACCGATCTACGACTTTTCTGTCAAGTTCGAAGTTGAACACTCAGATATTTTTATTTACGATAAATAATTGAGTAAAAATAAGATATTTGACAATACAATATTCAAATAATACAAAAATTTCGAAACTGTTTGATAAATACTCAGTGAGAACAGAAAAATTCAGTTCCATGAAAAGACATTTTTCATTGCATTTCGATAAGCTTTTGATACCAATAAATTGGTATAACAGCTGATACCAAATGGAATATGAAGACAAAAAACAGTAATTTGTTTAAGAAAGATGTCTAATTGCACTTGTTCAATAGATTTTTGTTGATATTGTGTAATTTGTTGATGAGTTAAGAAAATTGCTGCCATAGAACAGAAAATAGCGTAGAGAACAATATCTATAAGAACCATCCAAACAAATTGTCGATCTTTTGAATGAATAATGTGTGAACCAGCGACTCGTGCAGTGCCACTATATGATGAAGCAGTCGGAAGTATAACACGACGTACACGTCGAATATTTTTCACAGCCCATATTCCAAATATTATTAATAACAAAGTAGACGAACTTTCTTTGATAATCGAATAAAAACTAATGAATGTTAGATAAAATCCTACTTGATAAAAGCACATATAAATGTTTTCGCCAATTTGTGTAATATTTGTAAAGACTAATGAAGGACTATGAAATAACATCCAAAATACTGTTCCACCAATAATACAGAAATAACTGAAGCGTACAGTACTTCGGTGCCGAGTAGAAGCATTTGGTGAAGTAACAAAAACTCGATCAATTGAAGCTAAGATTAAACAATATGAACTTAAAACATTGGAAAACAATGATGTATAATAACATAAACGACAGAGAACAATATTCTTTGAAGTAAAATAAATATTATAACCAGCTTCTAATGTTATAGATAAGAGTAATGAGTTAATAAATAGCAAATTAAAAATATTTTCAACTACCAAGTAGGTAGCACATGGATTTTTGCGTAAAGATTTTTGAGAAAATACTATTACGTTGAGTATACAACTTATACTACCAAAGACAACCAAAATGAGACCACCAAATCGATATAAATATGTTGCTATTGATTCTAATGCTGTGATGACATCGGTGGATGAAGATTGTGAAGACATATTTATGTTCATTCAATCTTATTCGAACGTAATGTGTTTCATCAACTGGTTTTCCTTTTTATCTTAAACTATGCTCTCACTTTTCTAGCAATATGTCAAGTACAGAGAAAAATTAGATGAATAGTCTTCTTCAAATTAATTATTTTTAAAGAGAAAATGAGGAAGAGAATGTCATTATTAAAAGTAATCCCCTAAAGCAATCTGGATTATTTTTGAAGAAGTATTTTGTCTTACTTTGATCTCAAAATATGAGAATCTCGGGAAAACTTTCAAATTTAAGCCTAAAAGGCTTCATCAAACTAAGTAATTTAATGCGTAATAAATTTCTCGTCGAAGAAATATTAGCTTTCTATTTCAACTGAAAAATAGTAAGATTTCAAGGTAATGAATGAAAAGTAAAAAAAAAATTTGTTTAATTTTGCACGTACCTATAATTGTTCGTTTCAGTGTTTTACAAAGTGCAATCTTTTCTCCTTTGTTTTCTTATGATTTTCTTGATGAAAAGTATCAATTTTCTGAGCTTTATTTGAAAAATCTTGTTTTAGACAGCATATTATTGTTAACGATCAAAGTCAAAATCGAGAGGGTGAAAGGTAGAATGGATTTTTAATTAAAATGTCAAATTTTTATCATGAAGAATGTTTCTATAGAAAACACATTCAATTGAGAATTAATATAAATGTCTATGAAAAATTTTTCCATGTAAATTGTTCCAACACTTTTCATTATTATAAATGATGTTGTTTTATCAGTTATTGGAGTAAACAATATTCATCTTCCATTTATTGAAAGAGTTTTTCCGCATGATGGGAGCTTTATAAATAGATGAAATATACGCTTTTTAGCACAATAATTTAATCTTATTTTCTATTTTCATCATAACAAAACAAATGCTGTATCTAATTGAATCAAACTGTTTTTCTCAAAAGTCAAACACAGCACACAGTTTTGTCTCAAGTAATTATGTACTCATCTTTAAATTTCTTGAACTAAAGACTTGAACTGAACGTTACATTCTTGTCTCACCGTCTCTTAAAATATATTCAAAAGTGAATAATCGAATGACATTTGATGGAGGTTGCAATGTGCAGCTCTGTCGAAAGTAGGATTTTTTCACACATGTTCCCTTATTTCATGTGCTCTATTGATGATGAAAACTTTAGTTCGATGAGTGGTGTTCTCTTGAAGTGGAAAAAAAAGAATGGATTTTAAAATGACTATATTATCTTCATACATCGAATTTCTTGTTTTTTACCTGCAGCAAGACTTGTTGAAAACTATGTTGACTTCATCATAGTTGATTTCAATAGATATTTCATTATCAGAAATATCAAAATCGAACAAAAATAAACATCTATATAAAATTCTGAAAATTATATAAATTATTAAAAAGAAATATTTTCCCTCTCTTGACAAAAACTATCAACAAATGAATGATACACTCAATAGTGCCATCAAAACTAAATAACTGTATTCTTTTTGTTACAATGCAGTCATACTTTGTTCTTTTTTTTGTATTGAAATGTCAACAAACAAACGAGTCTATGTATATGGTGGCAAGAAGAAAAAAATGAGACACACGTTTTTTTTCTTCTTTTCTTCATAAAACATAATTTCTGCAATAGAGTTTTGTTGTTCTGTAAAAAGATTAACTTTGAAGAATTGGTCAACGAGTTATTACTTGAATTATATGAGCTTATTGATTTTGTTACATGCATTTTATGGTCTTAATTCTCGCTTTGATAAACTTATATTTCTTCATTATCGAACCTACCATCTCGAATTTCGATTGGTACCTAAATGTAAATTCAATTCTATATGCCAACAATATCTTTCATTGATGCTCGATCGAGTGATTTCATGATAGCTATCAAATAATGATGAAACACCAAATTCACCTGAATTACTTCTTTCTTATGGTTCCACTTTGCATCAATTCTATCGTTTGCGATCTCTTTCATTGAATTGTATCAATTCTCTTGGAATCTTAAATCGAACTATATGGGAATGTCTACATCTTCCATATTTCACACACCTTTCCATTAGAAATTGTGATTTTAAAGATAAAGATAAATTTTCTTATTTAATTGAAGATATCTGAAAGTTATCGAAACTTACATATTGTCAAATCAATCATCAGTTTCCATATAGATTGAAATATACTAATGATACAGTGATTTCATTATGTATTGAAACTCTTTTTTCTTGAGAATTTTAATTTTGATTTGAATGATTTATCTAATTTCAATGTACACCTTCTCGTCGACTATTTAAAGGAACTATTCATTATTATTCGGAATATCAACGATTGCGTATTATTTCTTCATTAATCATTTCATTAAAACTTTCCTTTCGAAATGCATCACAATTAATGATGAATCTTTTTCAAAATTTTCCGAATTTATATCGTTTAACAATTAAGACACAGAAGATTTGGGTGTGGGTGTGAGTGTTTATTCTGCACAATCACACGAACGCACACTCACACCCTACCCACAAAAAGAAAATAAACAAAATTTTTCCAAAGAATGAATTAAAACTGATTATACTTTCGTTTATAGTTTTTCTAAATGCTTTTCTGAAAAATTTGATCAATAAAATTGTTTTCTATTCTATTACTACTACTTCTAACATAATATATTTCTGTAAAATTTTTAAATTTTCTTCCTCAATTGCTACAGTTTGCCTTTTCTATTTCAAAGCTATTAAATGTACGAGGAAAAAGAAATATGGGGAGAGATGTTACATATCCAGGAATGTTCCAGATGGATGCAAGTAAGCAAAATAAACACGAGAAAATAGTTTAGATAACGAATGTTTATTGTGACATATGAGAAACCTATTCCAAGATACAGAAAAATGCATTGCAAGACGTAAAAACCAAAAACAATCTATCCAATAATGTAGAAAATAAACGAGATGAATTAGAGAAACGTAGAATATATATGGTGGAGATATGTAAACAAATATGAGATCAATACATCTCTAGTATCTTATTCACTCTTACATTGATCATCAGTCTGACTCTCATCTTCACATAGTTTTCATCGGACAATATCACTAAATATCATCAAGACAATAACTATTTCGTCTTGTTTATCTTTTATTAATAATGAATTGAAAGTTCAATGAAAATGAAAAATAGATTATTCCAGAATATTTTAAATGATTCATCAAAACAATTTATAGAATATTCAAAATTGATATGAAGTATCCTATTATTTAAGGAATCCTTGAATAATATTGTAATGTTTTAAACTAAATTCAATAATCATTTTGCTCTTTTATAAGACATTTTATTTATTTTGCTTTTATTAGTAGATTAAAATTGATTTTTATGGATAAAAATAAAATATTTAATGATATATGTTAATACAAGCTCTCAAACTTCTGTTCTAAAAGTTTATACTGTTTGTTAAAATGATCAAGTACTTGGTCGTCGTTCAAATATATGATCTAAGTGAATAGCTTGATCAAAATTGTTAATTCGTCCTTTTTCAGCTTCTTCGATTAAAGCTTGAATCTCTGGTCGAGCCAGTAAATCTTTATAAGCCTTATAAGATGGTGTAAGACCACGTAAATTAAGTATAATATTATTTCTTTTTTTCACTTGAGCATAGGCGTGATCCATAGTTTCAATTAACCGCTTTTTATTTAATAATTCTATAGCCGTTTTATCTTGACGACCATCTTCAGCAGCTAATTCTTCAGGTGAATACATATTCAAAATAGAAAAAAGAAGATGAGTAACATAATAAAGAATAAATCGTTCACCAAATTCAAATCCTATAATAAGAAACAACATTTCCTTAGATAAAAACTAAAAGTATTTGTTTATTTTACCATTTTCATAATTCGGCAAGACAAATGGATGAGGATGTGCCTGAATACGTGAAACAGACATTTGTTGATTTGTATCAACTTTAAGTATAGCTGCCTCATTATTATATGTATCACAATAGTTTGGTGCCGAAAATAAAGAAATGAGTACAGGAAATTTCGTACGAGATGATCGACGAAAAAATCGTACACCATCTTTTTGTACTTCATGCCCACGTATTATTGATAAAAGATTATTTCGAAGTAAAAAATCTCGACAAGCATAATAGGAAAAAAAATGTGCACAGCCACGAACATTATTGGGTTTAAAATCAGGTTGTTGATCATTAATATCATCGAAATCTTCACTTGGATCAGACCAAATTAAATCACATAATGGACCGGAATATGGAGTTTCTTTAAAACGATCAAGATTTTCAATATCGGATAATGTACGAATTTCCGGTGATAGTCCACCATGCATGCATAGAAATTTGCCATCAACTGAGGCACACAAAGGTAATGCGTCAAAAGCTTGCATACAAGCATCGTACAATGCACGTGAACCATATTTTTTTTCACATTCCAATTTGAATTGGAAGGCTGTTGCCATTTGACGAGTTTCATGATTTCTCAAAATGAAAGAAATGGCAATTATCGTTTTTTTTTTATAACAATCATATATTCATAAAAAAGTCTAACTCGAGTGAACGATCTGAGCAATTTCTAAATACCAAAGGGTAGTTTATATTATTTTTCTCTATTTTTAAATTTTTATTACATTTTTATCTCGTGGAAATTACTCAACATCGGCAAATGTTAAAATGTCAGTTAACAGCGAGCAACCATTTTTATTGAACTGAGTAAATGATGCTTTTTTCTATTCTTCAACAAGGAAAAACAAATGAAAAACAAGCTCGATAAATAAAGCAGATAACTAACTCCAACAAGAAGGTCATTGATTTCTTTTTTAAAATGAATAACTTCGGAAAACGATTAGCTTGACTTACAGCAATTCGTATTACAAAAAAAATTGACATCAAATTATACCGTGTCTTAAAGTTGTACAGGTGAAGAAAGCCCGCGTTATATGAAATTTATCGATATCAGCCACTAGCACATTGTCGATGTTTTTTCAACATTCTTGTTTTATTAAATCTATCAGGCAAGAGATTTTTTAGCATGTTATCTAGACTGTAAATTAAATCGTCATCTTTTTTTTCTTAATTCTCTAAATAAATCATTTACATGTAGTTCTTCGTTCATTTCTACAAGATATTTAATTACTTGATTATTTTTTGATTTATAAATTTTGTAAGAATCTCAAGAATGAAATCAATAATGAAGATAAAATGATAGTTCGCGCAAACGGGTTCAAACAGTAATATGCGAGAAATTGATTTAGTCCTAAGAGTTTTGTCTAATAGGTCTTCAAAATACTCCTCCGAAAAGAATAAAGAAATAGAGAATTGAACTCCTAATTAGTGCACTGAATAGAACTGTTTTCTCTTGTCTCCTTGTTATAAACTTTATGGAAAATTCTTAAGAGAACTTAAATAGTTGTCGAGTACAAATGCTATTTTTTTCATCATCGTACTTCCAGAAATGTTTTTTTTTTACTTTTTAACTAATTATGAATAATCAAACTAAATTTGTGCAATTTAGTTTCGGAAAAATAAAGGAAAACATACCCTCGAAGTAAATTAATATTTTGTGGATATTTAATTTTTAGTGCAAATAATAAAAATACACATTCACATTCAAATTGTCCTCGATCAACATAATCACCTAAGAATAAGTAACGTGTTTTAGCTGGATCACCACCAGCTGTTAATATCGTTAAAAGATCATAAAATTGTCCATGAATATCAGCGACAATGGTTACTGGTCGTGGAACAATTAAAATATTAGGTTCACGTTCAAAATTTTGTCGAGCAAGTTCGACAAGACGTAAAGCACATCCTTCATCAAGACGACCTTCATTTTGTAAATGATTTTTTAAACGAGAAATGGATGGTAAACCAGAAGATGAATCAAATAACTCATTCTCAGTTAGTAGACTAGTTCGAGGATATGGAACCGAATTTATTTGACGATCAGGAGGAGGATTATTCATTTTTCAATAAGCGAAAACTATGGGGATCTTTAATCAGAATATAAATTAATACGCGTATTTTAACGATGTAATCTAATGTGCAGAACGACGAACAATTCACATGTATATTTGATCTATATTATGATTCTTCTCTTTGCGTCTACCATGGAAACGAGTTTGTTCTTTTTTTACTTTCCTCTTCTATTCTTTGAATTTGGGCAACAGAACGACATTTTCATCTTTGTTTTCTTTGCTCTTACGCACATATGACACAAATGATGAAAGAGAAACATGCTTGATTTTTTTATAGCTTGTTGATTTTATCAAAATGGAGAATGATGACAAATATATTTGAAGTTAGCTGAGTTAAATTTTTATGACAACGATAATCAAATTTATCAGTCTTGATTGGCTTCAAGATGCATGAAGAAAAATGAGGTGGTTATGGTAAACAAACTGGTTAATATAGAACATATTTCAAGACAAATTTTATGATTCTTTTAAAAACTCAGTATCATTGAAACTTCTTTTAAAGAGAGAAAGTTAAGATGTATGGACTAATAAGAAATAAAATATACATGTCATGAAAATATTGACTTCATGTATGTTTACCATTGATTTTGTTCTACTGAATTTATTATACGTTTGCTACATATTGCAAAAATTCTTCAGTTATATTTTCTTTTGTTGATATAAAATCAAGATTGTTTCGTCACATTTAAAGTCTGACATGAAAACAACTCAATATTAATACGATGAGACCTAATTCAATGAAAAAAAAAATTTTAACAAGTTCTTCGGATAATATTGCAATATTAGAAAAAAAAACATTTGAAGAGGTAAGCCTCGAAATAATTGCTGTTTCAAAAATGGCCTGTAGAAAAATAAGTACAAACAGTACTCTGTTAGAAATCATTTTAGTACAGTTTTTCCCATTCATCAACTTAGAAATCTATTAAACGATAAGTTTCTATTTTCGAATTTTAACTAATAATCAACAGTCGACCATATGGAGTACTTTGTTAATAGAAAATTTTAAACATAAACTCAATAAATCATTGCGTATTTTATTTTCTTAAGAATAGCTCTCGAAATTAGTTTGACTTAGTCAGCATATACTCAGAAAGAAAAAAGCTTTTTACGTCATATTGATTTCTTTACCATTCACATGATGGTTATCTGTATATATATTAAGAAATTTAGGGATGCTCTCATCCTATATTCTATCGAGGTCACAGTTACTATAGTAACTTATAAAATTATTATTGATGATATAGCTAAAAAAAACAAGCATCGATGAGACATGAAGTAAGTCATTATTTTTTATGTTGTCGAAATCGATTGGTTTCAACTAAGGTAGATTGAATAATTCATATATACTTATCGGTTTCTTTCTATCAACTACACCATTATTCACTAAAGACAATATAACAGAATATTCTTTACTCAATAATTTGACGACTATTATCCTTCAAGACATTGAGATCAATTATCCGACTTAGAGATGCTAGAATGTCTTTTTATCTCATAATATGTACAGTAAACGCATCAAATACTCCTTTGTGCATTCGAACAACGTGTATGTAGCTTTGATATTGCACCTTGGATCAATATATGTCCAGTATTTGCAACTAGAATGTTAGCATCTTCAGTTGCAATACCATTTGTATTGACGCGGGTGTGGATGAAGTGTGGGTGGATGCGGGTGAAGATGAGAAGAAGACCTAAAAAACCACACGCACACCCTGTTTTCAGAATCCGATCAAGGGCTTTACCCGATGTCCATGTCCATACCCACATTCAATTTTAAATTTAAAGCAAATATGACCATTCAACTCAACATGTTGAAATACTCGTTTCAGCGCGATTATCCGAGAGAACATAGGTCAAGTGGTTGAAGTCTGGAAAGCTCATGACAAGTGTCGGTGTAGCCGTGGGTATAGATATAGACATGAGAAATATCCATGCCCGCATGCCACTCCACCACAGTCCACACACACCCACACCTACACTCCACAGCTAAACCCTGGATGTGTTGTACATTGTTTAGCAAAGTACAATCCATGCGACACATTTCATTTTAGTGTGTTTCCAGAACGTTAGCATGTTGCATGCGCCGATTGTTGAATTCCACCCTAGTTCACACGTATGCTCGAACTTACCGAGAAATTGAGAATGTCGCAATATCGTTTCTGAATGTGAGTTGCAGTATGTATGTTTCTTTTTTTTCCAATAATTCTCTGTACACTACGGCACGTTCTTTCCAAGTGAGAAGAGAAAGAAAATGGCTGAGCCATTTTAGAGAGAGACCACTTCACTTTATTGGAGAGCGAATCTTTTGTTTGTCAATATAGAGAGAAGCTATTCAGCACTTTGAGGTTCTCTTCACACTCAGAAAAAGTTCATTTTTCTGAGAGAAATAAAAATTCAGATACTTGCAGAGAATAGACATGAGTTTGGGAGTGAGACAGCCTTTCAGTCACAGTCAAATCCACACCAATGGATGCGGGTGGGTGTAGATGTGATTCAGTTATAGATTCTCGCTTCAGCAAGATCCATATCCTCGCCCGCCCATACTCACCCTGTTGCTTCGTTTTTACTACATGATTCTCATTGTTTGAAGCAGCTCAAATCATCGCATTATTTTCATAATGTGAATCTCGTTTTTTAAAGTGATGTTCGTTATTCTAAAGAAATACAATTAACTGTATTTACTTAATTAGTTTTTCATCATGCATATTGAAAGATTCCGATTAATTTAGATATCCCTACATTGAAACCAATCTTTACTAAACGATACAATTCTAGTTGAATACTGCTGCAAAATTCGATAATCGTGACAGAATTATTTTATATGATAGTACTTACTTCATAAATTCAATTCCATTTTTCGGTTAATTTTCAAAGTTTTACCATTAAATCAGAACTGTTAAGGTGATTAGGCTGTGGGGTGTGGATGTGAGTGTGGGTGTGGGTGTGGATGTGAAGGAAGAAAGAACACCATTTATATTCACACCACATCCACATCCACCCTCTCTCCGAAACAGCACTAAATCCTAAAATATCCCGTAGTCCTGTTGCACAAGACAATTGGGATTGTCTCGAAAACTTTCGTAATATGTCAAACCAGACTCAGAATACGAAATAATTTGTTACGTCGAGCTATAATTCATATAGACACGCAAACCTTTTGAACTCATTTCTGAACAATGACTACAACAAACAGTAAAAATGAAAAGAAGTTTTTATTTTTTCATAGTCAAAAGAAATTGTGCATGCATTCGTATATTATCTCGAGTAAAAATCAATTAATTTCTACTTAACTCTTCTTTTCGGATATACCACAAAAAAGGAATAGAGGGTAGGAATACACACTATAGAAAAATAGAATCTGGGAAAACCCGACAAAGTTGTCAATGAAACCTGAGATAGACCTCGAGCAGGGTTGTGTTGCATGACTCACTCACTCTTCTATATAAATAATCAATCAGAATCTATTTTTATGAGTAAAATGGCATCATAAACCACATACAATAAAACCGAATTTCAAACATGATTAAAAATAGGAGTTCGGCTATGGCATTTGTTAAGCCTGGATCCGAGACTTGTAAAAATATCAGTTGCAATTCTTTAGATTTGTATCTTGATATATCAAATTCATTCTCGAAGTAGAACCGATTCAAGGACACTTGTATTGGCTTTGTACGCCTTCAAGAACTGCTAATGTTGGCAAATTTCCTGAATGACATGATTGGTATCACACAATTGTAACTGGGAAAAACTCGTGCTATATATCTTTCGTTCTGATATATACATATAAAAGAATACTCGTGCTGATAATGAGTCAAAATAATACGTGTCAATTAAATCTCTTACTTATTTTTCACAAAAGGCCTGAACTTCATCGAGATAGAGTATTAATTTTTTGTTCAGGTGAAAGGATGCAGATAAAATGTCACTCATTAGTATTGTTAATTTAGCTTTACTTTGCAACACAAAGATTTTCTTTTTCTTTTTTTTTCAAACACAAGGATTTTCTTTATCTTTATCTTTATTTGAAAGCAAAAATTGAAACTAAATTAACATTCCTATTATTCATACTACAGAGACAATTAACGAAGTTTTGAACTATCAGTTTATCCGTAATAAAATCATTGACATTAATGAAAAAGTCGATTTTTTATGTTTGACAACAGAGGCCAGCATTGATTCTTACGCTTCTTCATTTTCTCTCAAAGTTAATTGTTTAAATGACTAAAATAATTAGCATGAGAAGTTCTGTCAGCTTCAAAAATATAATCTTATTCGCAGAATTTTTTGATTCTTTTTGGCAACTCTCGTGCAGAACAGTTCATTACAAGAAAAACGAAGTTGTTTCTGACATATATTTGAAAAGAAAGTGACATGTCATATTATCTTTAAGCAACACAATAAAAGAGATTTTCTTAAGAAATTGAAGTATAAGCTAATCAAAACGTCAGCAATCACAGCGGGGTAGATATTCAGCAAAGATCTTCTTTTCGATGAACCGTTGGAAAGTTTAGATAAAATGTTGTGTTGTGGATGTAAAAGAAATGTCAGATTTTTTTTTTCTCAATTGCATGACAAGATAATGTCCAATGAAATTAGAGGCTTTAGCTGTTTTTTTTTCATAATATTTTAATCATTCAGCCAACGTTCAACACGATATTATCTCATTTTATAACAGCATATGGTCGTAGACGTGATGTGCATTTGTTTTTGATTCATTGAAAAGAAAAATCTATTGGTTTGTTTTTTTTCTAACATAAACGAGTGACATGTCGAGTGAACTAATCATCGTGATAGCTAAATATCTCTACATCTATCTCGGGTTTTTTCTGGCTTCCGTTGGATCAATCGGTAATTTATTAACAATCTCAGTATTTGTACGCCGAAAAAAATATCGTTCTCTTTCAAGTTCAACATTTCTGGCTGGATCAACATTTGGAGAACAGATAGCTCTCATTGCATCTGCTTTTCCAGATTCACTTACTTATACA